TTATAGTAAAAAACACTAAAATAAAAAATTAGTTCTATAGTTGACAATTGCGTATGAATGGAAGCTCATACATGACTTTAATAAAAATACTCCAAGATTGCCACTCTAATGGAAATATGCTTCAATATCAGTTCAACGTTCCATAATCGACGCTAATGCTTAAGTTAGCCATTTTTTGCGTCTTTAAAATGCGCTATGACCATACCATCTGCCTGAAGTTAAAACAACTATATACGCCTTGCATAAAAAATATGCGCGTACGTCGTGTCGTGTGACGTTTACGGCACGAAAGTGTAATCATAAGTATTCAGAATGATATGCAAGTAGCACTGCGTTTGTCAGAGCTGCATAATTAAAAACAAACAATTCAACCCCAATTTCAAATAAATTTACAAGAATCACATGCAAGATTAGAAAATAATTGCCAAGTTTTTGATATCAGTCAGAATCGAATTGAATAAAAATTAAGTCATGAAAGTGACTCGTAACCCGTAAATCAAAAACTGCTATATTGTAGGTTTTAATCGACTGAAAGAAGAAACAGTTTGATGAAACGATTTGTGAATGTTTTGTTAGACTAAAAATTTTAATTTGAAACTACTAATGAATAATCTTTAAATTATATGCCACCAGAAAAAAAAATTTCTTTTTGAGAGTAAATTTTTCATTTTTTACATTAGTACTCCTCAGTCTATTTTAATTTTTTCAGAAGATAAATGCGTAGGCCTGATGAAACAATATAAATCCTATATTTTTATCCTATATTTTTGCTCCATCAGCAACCAGTGAAATTCTCGGCAAGAGTCACATGTTCTTAAAGACGATGGGCGTCGTTATTAGGTTTCCTCAATTTTTGGCCCACTGCTTTTCATTTTGTTTATTAATGATATTGTAAACATTTGTAAAGATTCTAAATTAATTATGTATGCAGATGACTGCACCTTTTACACGAGTGAAAGTAATAAGTCAACGTTGGTGATTGATTTACATTACTGGTCCAGTCAAATAAAATTAATATTGATTTATCTAACACAAAATATATGGAACTCTATAGTGGTAGGATGCAAAGAAATATTTTAGAAGATCAAAATATCTTAAAAATAAATAATATTGAATTGAAAAAAACTAAAAGCTTTAAATTACTTGGAGTGATCGTTGATGAGAAGTTAAACTTTAAACTCCACATAGAACATTATCCATTTTGCTGGGAACATTTTTAGAATTACAACATTTTTAAACAATAGCCCAAAAAAACTATTTTACTTGTCATTAGTTTTCTAGTATCTTTAATGTTGTAACCTAATTTGGGGACGTTATTTTCATCAGATTATTATAATCATAATTTAAATAAAAATATTTTCCTAAATCATAACTTACTAAATATTTTTGAAATAAATAGCTATACTACATGTATCCTAATTTTTAAAATATTGAAAAAAGTTTTGAAATACACCCTGAAATTCAAAAGATGATTCTGGCAAAACATGCTGCTTCTATCAGGCTAAATAAAAAATTAACGATAAAGTCATTTAAACCTAACTTTAAATATGATAAGTGATCGCTTATTCTTTTTTTTACGCACCTTCTATCTGGAACGATCTACCGACAATTTGAAACAGATTGATAATTATGTTGAATTAAAAAAAAATCTGAAAACTTATTTCGTTTGCCTATCCTAAATTATCTCTCAGTTCATTTTGTAAATTTGTTCTTTTTTTCTAACTATTTTTAATTATTCAGAATTTAACATTTAATTTTATGGTTCTTTTCTTTTTTGATATTGTGATTTTTTTTTATATATTAAGATTTGATACAAGTAGGACCAATTGTAAATAGTACTTGTACTAATTGGAACTTTTTTTTATTTTGCAATGTTTTGTTTGAAATAAAATTATTAATAAAATATTAGTATTAAAAAAAGAAAAAAAATGAAAAAATTGCCTTTTTTGACGCTTGAAAAGGAGGACAAAAAGCAAAAATCACGGCACTCTTCATGAACAGTTAATTGTTAAAGCGAAAAAAATTCATCACATAACTTATTAGTTTCTTTCAAATTTTAAACTAATTTTTATATTTATCATTATTTTTGCAATGTTCAAATTTTGGATAGTCTATTCAAATGGAATATTAAAATTTAATCTTGTTTCAATATTTTTATTGAAAATTTTTGTTTTACATATTTATAATTTTTATAAAATTATTTCTTACAAGTTATAATTATTTTTTTTTTACTCTACGACTGTTTTAGATATTTATAAAAACATTTTCATCCAGCTAAGCATCCTGTATCTTTCCAAAGTTCCATTCTTGGAACATCATCTATTCTTGCGCCTAACTACACTTCAAGTTTAACTTACCAAGTCTCTAACAATATGGAAATGTGTATGCATTTTTGTTTGGAAACTAACAATTCCTTTTTTCAACCAAATGTAAGCCAACTTAATTTTTAAATTTTTTAATGAATCTCATTAAAAACATTTAATGCAAATAATTATAATTTTTTTACTCGTCTGATGACATTTTTATTTTTGGGGCGATGATTTAATTAAGATGGTTACAACGTTAAATAAAATACGAACAATGGATGAGGATGATTGGAGATGCACAATTTTTTGAGGATCTTTGCTTGATTGCAGAATGCATGTCAAGAATCCTAGAACTAGCACAAAAAAGCGGTGAAATTTAGTTAAAAATTAATATTGAAACAAATGAACTGATAACGCCTGTATAAAAACAATTACCAGAATGACCAATCATCAATATAGATCACGGGAGAAAAAATAGTTAGAAGTTTTTTGTATCTTAGTGTAGAGAGAGCTGAAAGTAGACAGAAATATACAAAAAAATTATGCAAAGTATAGCATTAGCAGGATCATTTTAAAACAAATTACAAAATTTTTTCAAGTTTGTATTGCAGTTTGCGTGAAGCGAAACTTGAAAAATTACAAGAACAATGAAGTGCAAATTGGATGCAACAGAAAACAAATGAACTAGGAAAATATCAAAAATCTGTCACGGACTGCGTGACAAAGAAATTTAAAAAATTACCCAACAATAGATAGTGTAGCACCAGCAGAAAAAAATACGATAGTGAACAGGTCATGTGATAAAAATGCTAAAAATGGACTAAAGCATACTCCCAAAAGTTTTTTAAATACCAAATGCTAGAAATAAAAGCTCCTGAACGACCTAGAAAAAAATGGCTGCAAGAAAATTTGTAAAGGACTGGTTAATCAATTTTGACAAAAACAACAGGGAAAGTAAAATGCCATTTGAAGATCGGAGTATGTCTCAATTGGAAAAGCTGTGAAAGTTTTGGCAGTATATCGGCTTCTAAACCACAATTTCAAATTTTTTAAAATAGAATGGATTGAATTTTAAATATTTGGTGGTGGCTACATTATTGTTGGTGGCTTTAATAGAAACTAGTTAAAAAAATTCAATTAATCTAAAAATATTTTATTAATAAAACTGTCATATATTATTTACTACATCTTATCACGCTACAAACACTTGTAATCTTTAATACTACTTCATTAATTGACAAATCATTCTCAAATTCACATTAACATGCGGATGGTGGTATTGCTGTCTCCGATTTTTCCGACTACTTTTCCTAATTATATTGTCGTCGGCTATCGCGAACTTGAAAACTCGTTTAACAAAATAAACAATTCAAAAATTTTGCAAATTAAACAAGCCATTTCTTTTGAAAATTAATTTTCAGTACTTAATGAAAATTTCATGGATACTGCATGGAACTTTACATTTTATTGAATAATGTCGTTTTTATCATATACTTTTTCTCCTTGTGCAACGTTTTCTGTTTTTGCCATATATTTCCAAATATTTTGAATTTCTAATTTATTTACCGCTTTTTTCACTTTGTCTCGCAATATCGTATTTTCATAGTCTTCTGTGTCTAGAGGAATAATTGTAGCAAATTTTTGAAACTTCTATCTTCATTAACTTGATAGGTTGTGATCAGTATTCTTTCCCCTATTTTTTATAATCTTTTCTCTTAATCTTTTCGGTTTTTGTTTTTAATTCTATTTCTTTCTATTACTTTGCACATTTGTTGGACTGACTTCTTTGCATACTTTTCTGTATTTTTGACGCATTTAATTTGATACATCTCTCTGTTTTTATCTGCCAGTTTTAATATGAATTGTGTGATTCATGACCCGTTGGTGCGTCTTGTTACATGTACCGTTTCTTCCACATCGAGCTTCATCGCTATTAACTGTTCAATATCAATCACATCAATTATGCCCAATGTTGTTTGTGCAACTGTTTGTAAACCTCTTGTAAGTATCTTCAGTTTGAAGAACCGACAAATCCCTTCTTTTTCTATTTGATGTTGATTTTGGTAAATATTTTGATCGAAGTTGCAATTTTTATATAACTGAACTGTGATTGGAAGAAATATTTACACCATGATAAGGACAAAGTTTTACTGTTGATATTGAACTTTTGTCAATTGGCACCAGATGTTATTTTTGTGCTCTCCAGATTCACTCTTTGCAATCTTTTAGTTGGAACTGAGAGTTACAAATAAACAAGTTGCTTATAGTTGCATATTCCAATAACCGTTTTCCTCTTTTTATTGCATTTCCTTGTAACTGTATTTTTATATAACTGATTCCCATTGCCCATTGTCAATGCCTATTTTGGCGTTCCAGTCTGTGAGTACTATTTTCACGTCTTTTCTATGCAATTCTTTTAGCACTATTCCGATTGTCACTGTATTTAACTATAATGTCATCAGTACAGTTATTTGCTAGTGCGTACACCTGAACGACCACAATGCTCAGTGGTTTTCCAGAAAATTTAGCAATGATTATCTTAAAACTGATAGAGTTGTACCTTAGGAGAGCTTGTCTTGCGTTAATACTTAACACAAATCCGACTCCATTTTTATGATGTGTTCACTGGAAAAAATTACTAAACCTGCGTTGATTTTTTTCTTACCTGTTTATTTCATATTTTATAATCCGAGAATGTCATCTAATGCACCCAATGCAGTGAGGCTGGATATTGCCCCACCTGGTTTTTCTGTGGCACATTATAATAGACCTGGTCGGCGTAGTGGTGGCATCTATGTTGTACACCGGGCGACATTTCGATGTTCAGCGCTAGATTTTGGTATTTTCACAATGTTCGAGCTGCTTGTCACCAAGCTCGTATGCCCTGAGTCGGCTATTATTCTCGCTGTTCTTTATTGCCCTCCTGGTCCGGCTGTTGATTCGTTTTTTGAAGAACTGGAGACTTTGATAATTTACTTACATTCATCTTCATCTTTCTTTATAATTTGTGGCAATTTCAACTGTCCTGGTAGCGAGCGTCTATCCTCCCTTCTGGAAGAAAATAACTTATTTCAACACGTAAGCTTTCCAACACACTGGTGTGGTAATACTCTTGATCTAATCATCATCTCGACTTCGTTTTCCGACAGCATAAAAGATGTGAAATCATTAAATGTCACCTACTCTGACCATAAAATTATTCTTGTAGACATATGTACATTCAGTACTCCGCCCCTAGTTGAAACTCGTACATATGAGCCTATACATTGCATTAACCTAAACAGATTTCAATCTGACTTAATGGCTGTTGTCAATTCTCTGCTCTCTGCTTCACTGAATCTATCCTGATATGCTGGCTTCAGCCCTTGATCGGAATTTGTAAAATTTGCTGGATCGACACAATCCACTAAAAACTATTACCATCAGGCGTGGCCAAAAACATATCTTCACTCTTTCTGATGAGGCACGTCAGGCAAAGAAAAAGTATAGACGCCTAGAAAGAAAATTGCGGCTGGATCCTCGTCACGCGGTAAAACATGCTTACAGGGTTCCAAAAAACGTAGCTAAAACCGCCATCCTCAAATCTAGAGCGGACTGTATAAGCTCTGAATTTGATAAATCAAATTCAAACCCTCGTTTCCTGTGGTGCTTGGCTAACAAAGTTCTTCACAGCCACCCTATCCATTGCTATAGTGATGCAGATTGCAAGAGGCTGGTTAATTCTTTCAGCACATTTTTTCAGGAAAAAATAAAAAAATACTTATCTAAATATTCACCGCTATCTCTAAATCTACCTCTGTCACTTTCCCTGCTCGTCCATATAAAGGCGACATTTTTCTTCAATTTGCTGATACTGATTTTGATGAGATGACTAAACTCATTGCCTCTCTACCAGACAAAACACCACCCATTGATCCTATTCCAACCTCAATGCTAAAACAATTTTCGTCGATCTTAGCACCAATTCTGGTCAAGCTGACTAACTCTGTCTTCAGCACGGGATGCTTTCCTTCACTTTATAAAACTGCTCAAGTTCTACCACTACTGAAAAACTATCCTATTCTTGGATCCTGATGACCCGTAAAATTACCGCCCTATATCAAACTTATCAACATTCTCAAAGCTACTTGAGCGCGTCATATTGCTAAGACTACGTGCCCACCTAATGTTCAATCATAACTATCCAAATTTTTAATCTGCTTATCGTTCTCATCATTCCACTGAGACTGCATTGCTACACATTGCTGATGATATTTTTAATGAGGCTGGCAACCGAAAGGTAATCTCTGCAGTTGGGCTCGACTTGTCCGCTGCCTTTGATGCCCTCAGTCACTTGGTTCTTTTCGAACGCCAACAACAAAAGTTTGGGGTGGATGGTCATGCATTATCACTGATTAGATCTTACCTGAGCTGCAGAAAGCAGTTTGTGAAGCTGGAAAACCATACTTCCTCTACCTGCTTGATCGACACTGGAGTCCCTCAGGGTTCCGTCCTCGGTTCAATCTTGTTCACTACCTATGTGTCTCCTGTTTGCGATATTTTTAGTAAAAATGGATTATTTTCTCATCACTACGCCAATGACCTTTATCTGCATACATCTGTCACTTCTGGCGATCTTGAAAGCAGCATTCGAGTTTTAAGCAATTGTACTAGCGAGGTTTATCGGTGGTATGCTAATAATTTTCTTCTTCTCAACCCTAACAAATCTGAAATTATGGTCATTGGGACACATCAACAACTGTCGAGGTTTCAGCTCGAGGAAATGGACATAGCAGGGTCCACATTGCCTATCTCGGATGCGATCAAGTTGCTTGGGGTCACTTTTGATAGACATATAAATTTTGATAAATACATATCAGAAATTGTCAGATCCTGCAACTATCACCTCTGCGCAATAAGACATATTAGACATATGATTACATGTGATGTTGCTGCTGCCCTTTGCAGATGTTTGATCCTTTCTAGATTAGACTACCGCAACTCCTTATTGTATGGGGCCTCACGTGCATCTGTCAGAAAGCTACAGACTATCCAAATAAAACTGCTAGACTGATATTTAATAAACCTCTTCGTTTTAGTTCTTCCATTCTCTTTCCAATGCTTCATTGGCTTCCAATTTCCGCTCGAATCATCTTCAAAATTGCAGTCCTTACCTTCAAAACCCTTTTATTAAAATCCCCAACATATCTATACGACCTCATATTCAGACATGAACATACTAGATCACTCCGCAGCAGCTCAACAGGTTTCCTAAACATTCCCGTTGCCGGATCTCGCCTGGCTGGCCGCGGTTTTCGTCACGCTGCTCCGTATGTCTGAAATGCGTTACCTCCTGAGTTAAGACAATATTCTTCGTTGAGTCTTTTCAAAGAAGGACTAAAGACTCATCTTTTTAACACGGGCTCCGGGCGTTTCTGAAGCAGCTGTGCGAATGGGCGCTTCATAAATGTTTATATTATTATTATTTACATCAGTATTCAACACTGAGGATGACAAATGAATGTAGAAAAAAGTTTTTTTTAAGTTAGAATGTACATATATATTTAAACGAAAATGGTAAAAGTTAACAAAAATTTTGTTTATGAACTGAACAAATTTGATAATTAACTGAACTGCAACAAGAAAATTTTTTATATTTTTAGATAAAAAAGATGTCTATAGACTTTTGCGAAATATATATGTAGAGTTTGTATGTAGAGTTTATATAGCGCTCGTTCAAGTTCTCACAAACGCTTTATCCCACAAGTGCGCTTTGATTCTTTTTCTAAAAATCACTTCATCAATCTCATTTGTTTTCAGCTCTGTTGGCAAATCATTCCACATCCTTGGGCCATACACTGCAAAACTTCTTGACGCCATTGATGAGTTTACCAACGGTTTCTGAAAATCATTGTTTTTGGAAGATCTTAAAAATCTACCCGCCACTGTTATTGGTGTTTTTTTGCACAGATCCATTAGATATTTCGGAGCCGAACCTTGCATACATCGTTTCATCATCACCAAAACTTTGAAAACGATTCTGCTTTCAATTGGCAGCCAATGTAATTCACGAAAAATTGGGGTCACATGGTCATATTTTTTTCCTTGTACTATAAGCTTCGCTGCCCTGTTTTGTATTGATTTTATCCCATATATTGTTGACTTCGGACATCCGCTCAGCAAACTGTTGCAATAATCAACCCGACTGACCACAAACGCATGGATCAGAGATTTTGTTGTATCCAGATTAAGAGAGGCTCTTATGCGGCCAAGCTGTCGAAGCTGAAATGAACACTCCCTAACGAGATTATTCACATGCTGATGCATATTCAGTGTACTGTCCAACCAGAAACCCAAATTTTTCACCACACCAGTGAACGGCACCATCACAGACCCAAATCTTATGCTCTTTACATCAGTTTCCGAGAGCTGTTGTTTAGTTCCAATCAACATTACTTGTGTTTTTTCCTCATTTAATTTTAGTTTGTACGAACCCAACCAATTCTTTAGGCACATTATTTTCTCTGAGACAAGTTCAACCATTTCCCCACCGACCCCACCCCAGCGCTGCTGATGATCTGTATGTCATCTGCATATGCGTACACGCGCAGATCATTATGTTTCAACAATTTCGCTACTCCTGAAGTGTACAGGAGAAAAAGGAGTGGGCCTAACACTGAGCCCTGAGGAACTTCGTTCTTTATTTCCATGACTGTGGATGCTTGTACCCCGTAGACCACTTCATACGTTCTCTCGCAAACAAATGATGACAACCAACCAAGTACCTTGCCTTTCAAACCAAATTGATTTTTCAAAACCAAATGCAGCACGTCATGATTGACACAGTCGAAAGCTGCACTCATATCCAAAAGTGCCAAGAGAGAAACCCTTTTCTTGTCAACAGCTTCGTACGCATCTACCAACAGACGAGTTAGTGCTGTTTCAGTCGAATGATGTCTTCTGTAGGCAGATTGTGTATACGGCAAATTTCGACAAAGGGACGCTAAATGTGGTGGAAGGCTATTCTACACTGAAAAACCCATAATGCCAAAATCTCTTTCACCTATAATTAATTTAGAAACTGAAATATTTAGTAAGTCTAAATTATTCAAACGGAAACAAAAAAGAAACAGAATTCGAAGCAAACATTTATCCTTCAGGTAATCTGGAACTGTTTTATTGAAGTTGTTAAAAGTACGAGAATTTTAAAAACAAAAAGGATGTGTCTTGACTTAAAGACAGTTTTGATAAAACGTCTAAGGGACGCACAATAAAACACCTTAGTTTGCAATATTGTCTACTGAGATAGTAACTGCATTAGGTTGGTGTTATAATTTAAGGTACTGATGAGTCTTATAAGAGACAAAGATTGTCTAGCCTAGAACGAATTAGGTGTTCACAGTAATGCTCCTTTGATTGTGGTCAAAGATGTTGTACTTTATGTACTCATGTTGGCCAATCGTAACAGCAGAAGCAGGTCAAAAATTTTCACTCTTTATATACTCACGTACTTGGGGAATCATGTAAACTCGCAATTTTTATTATTCGACAGAGTAACAGTACGTCTATATCGACCAAAATGTGTTTCTGTGAATTACTTTAAAACACCATAGAATGCAACATTGTCTTTTGAGATAGTAATTGCATTAAGTTGTTGTTTTAACCCGAGCTGCTGATGAGTCCCATAAGGTACGAAACGCGTCTAGCCTAGAACGATTTAGGTGTTCACAGTAATGCACCTTAGGTTGTGTCGAGAGAGGGTGTACATTATGTACTCGTACTGGCCAACCGGGCCTGCAGAAACAGGTCAAAAATTCTTATTCTTTATATATTCATGTACTTAGACCTCTCATACTTCGAATGAGGATGTATTAAAACAGTCCGGTTATGAAAAGAAGAAATTACTACAGATAATCCAACAGGAGCAATTAAAGTTTTTCGATCACATCATGCGAAAAGAAAGAATGAAACTACTGGAAAGATTGCAGGGAAAAGAGATCGCGATCAACAACAAACAACATTTGTAAAGTCCTTGTGTCACTTGTTGAATATCACCACATGAAAGAAGAACTTGTGGATTCAAGGATATATATATAATATATATATATTCATATTTATTATCATTATGTATCTATATATATATATATATATATATATGAGTTAACTTGTGGATGACAAATAATAAACTGAAAATTAATTTATCAAAAACTTAAGCGATTCTTTTTGGATTGTCACCAATTTATTAACATTCTCTATTGTAGTTTGGGGTCGTTACATTAAGTCTCATATTAATATCTTAGATAGATGTTTATACGTCTTTATTCCTATTTATTATGACCTGAAAAAATAGGATTATATTTCAGATTATTTATCGTTGTTTAATTTGTTGTCTATTCCTAAACTGTACGCTTTCGGATTATTATTATTGTTTAATGTTATAGTTAAGAAAAAAATTGTTATGTTTAATTCATATTTAATTACATCTTCTGAATATTGCAAAAGAACAACTCGGCACACTCCATTATACAATTGTATTGTCCCTCGAAATGATTTATTTCCATCTTCAGTTTTAGTTTTTGGTTTAAAACTGTGGTCAAAATTACCGTGTTTAGTTTTACAAGTATCTATTTGGGCTATTTAAAAAATCGATTTTTGACTTAATTAAGAACAACTTTTTTTACAGGATATGATTAAATTATTTAAGTTATTTTACAAAGAAAAACTTTTAATATGAATTCAATTGTTTTGTTTAACTTGATAACTTTTGATGATCATTTTTGTTCTAAGAAATTTCTGCTCATTTTTGGTTAAATTTGACTTGTTTTCATTGGCTAGCTATACGATTTTATTTTCATTTATGTTGTTATTTTGATGTAGAAATGTTTTTATTTGGTTTGAGTTGGATGGCCGTATAAGCTCGTTTAAGCTTCTGTGTCTCCATGCTATTTGCTGAATAAAGTGAATTGAAATGAAAATTGAATATATATATATATATATATATATATATATATATATAGCTAAATGGCATTTGTGCTCTTTTTGTTAACGCGGCAATAGTAATTATTAGTACTTGTATTCAAAAATAATCGTTAAAGACCCACATTGACGCTACATTTTAGTGGCCTTGATTTAGTGTTATACCAATTGATAGTAGGATTATTACATCCCAAAGACGATTTGTTATAGCTGTAATTGGTTTCAAAAATTAAAAATGTTTGTCAATAAAAATAAAGTTTTAATTTTAAACAGACTCAATTTTGTTGATAAAAATTTATTAAGACAAATTGAAAAATTGGAATATAAATTGTTAAACACTAATAAATTGGTGGAATTTATTACATGTTGTTAAGAATTCGGTCTTGTCTTCTACCAGTATATGTATGTATACATATATATATAATTTATGTTCCATCCACCCAAAAATTCCGGTGAACAGGCGGGTCTTCCCCGCATTGGCACCAATGGCTGGTTGCGTTTCTCCCGCCGAGGTGCTGAGGGCCGTTAAATCGTTCAAAAACGGTTCTTCCTGAGGCCTGGACGGCCTATGATCCCAGCACCTTAAAGATGTTTTTTCTGGCCCCTTGCCAATCGACGACACACTGATCCTATCTGGAGCTTGCCCACTCTCCGTCGGCTGGTTTTTCTTTGGAGGCCGGTTAATAGCTTTAAATAAGAAAGACAGAGGGGTCAAACCGATTGCGGTCGGGAATGTTTGGAGGAGGTTGGCCGGCAAATGCGCCTTGGCCCTAGTCGTGGTCGAACTCAAAACCAAATTTAACCCGACTCAGTTGGATGTTGGGATTAAGGGCGGCGCTGAGGCCGCTGTTCATGCGGTTCGAAAATTGGTCACCGACCTCCCCGATCAATGGGGTTTTCTGAAACTGGACATTAAAAATGTCTTTAAAGCCTTGAGAAGAGACTCGATGTTGGAGGCTGTCAAACTTTTTTGCCCCAATATCTATAATTTTTGCCATTCTGCCTATGGCGGAGTCTCTTTTCTTGACTACTACTCTTAGGTTGTAGAATCGTCCGAGGGGGTACAGCAGGGTGATCCCCTTGGTCCTTTGTTGTTCGCACTAACTCTTCATCTACTCTTAGAGAAAGCTTCGTCCACTTTCGTTTGCGCTTATCTGGATCATATCAGCATTGCTTCGGACGGCCCAACTCTGGCCGATAGCTACAAATATCTGAAGCATAACTCCGCTGCAATTGGTTTGGAGTTAAACATTAAGAAATGCAAACTTCACTGCCAAAGTTTATATCAGGTGCCACATGCGCTGGCTGGAATACCCATAGTTGGTGCATCAGAACTGAGTTTTTTAGGCACACCCTTGGTAGAGGGCGATTACCAAATAAAGTTTTTTGACCAAAAGCTCTCTGAGCTCAAATTCGCCCTGGGTCGTGTTTCCTGTCTTTTGGCCCATGATGCCTTGACTATCATCCGCAATGCCCTCAGTTTGCCCAAATTGATGTACTTCCTGCGTACATCCAAACACATTGATCCTTCTAAATTGGGCAAATTTGACAGAGCCATGCGTACCGCCCTGTCGTCGATTTCCAATGTTCAAGTGACCAACAGTGGTTGGTCCCAAGCTCAGCTGCCAGTGCGATTTGGTGGGCTGGAGTTGCTTAGCGTGGTTCAGCTGGCTCCAGTTGTTTATAATTCTTCTGCCGCTGCCACTCTCGACCTGCAGTCTTGCCTGCTCCACCGGTTTTTTCGTTGCCGCGATATTCTTGCCTCAGTGTCTGCCCCGGGGGACCGTACGCACGTCCAAATTTTGAACAAAAAATATAAAAAGATCTTTCAAAATTTGTTGTCTTCATGCGGCGACGACTTTTCCACCGCTTGTTTGTTAGCCATGTCCAGCGTTGCCAGCTGTGGGTGGTTGAAATCGTGGCCCAACACCTCTGTGGGCACCAGGCTTGATGACGAGTCTGTGAGATTTGCCATTGGCTTCAGACTTGGCCTGGTCATTAAAAATAAATACACGTGCCGATGTGGCGCTGGGGCGGACGAGTTTGGGCACCACGGTTTGGTTTGTTGCCTGGGTGGGGGCCGTCAGCATTAAACGACTACATTTGTTGGCTCTTCTCCAATGCTTCAATCCCAGTTCTCAAGGAACCATCCGACATTTCTGCGCACGATGGTAGGCGCCCGGACGGATGCACACTAATACCTTGGAGAGCGGGAGATGTTTGGCGTGGGATTTTACGGTCCCTGGCACCCTTGCCGAACGATATGTAAACCTGACAAGTAAAGAATGCGGTTTGGCCGCGGCCAGGGCAGCGGACGAAAAAATGAAAAAAATATGGGAACGCCCTCCCCTCGATGGAATTCTTGCCAATATGTATCGTGGTTCTCGGCCCGATAGACCCCAACACCCTTAAATTTCTTAAGGCAATATGTAAAATGATCAGCATCAGATCAGGCGACAGCAGGGAACTGTTTTTTGCAACTAACCACATTTCGTGCTTGTTGCAGCGGTTCCTGCGTGTCTGTGTGCTTGAAAATATCCAACTGAATGCCGACATATGCAATTAACCACAAATCAAAGTGTTAATCCATTTGTTAATTGATGTTTGACGGTTCAGTGTCACTCATCATGTTTTTGGTTTTAACATATATATGTATAATATATATATGTATAATATATATATATGTATAATATTTTAATAAAACTTTTAAATTTTTTGTCAACATCTGTCAAAATTTTATCTGTTTAATTTTAAGTTTTTTGGTTACTATAGTCAAAATATTTTTAACTGTATTTCAAATTATAACACTAATGATGGCAATTTTGTCGAAAAAAGGCTTTTTTCTTAAGGCTATTTTAATTTTATTAGTTTTTATTATTCCATTATTTTTTTTTAATTTTAATATGCTATTTTTAAATTAATAGCAATAAATGAATTAAACAAATAACATAAAACATTTTATTAATTTAATTAATAATCTAAATAATAAATTATAATATATCATTAGAAAAATAAAGAAATTAAAATTTAAAATAATAAACAATACTTTAGCTGTAAAATTTAGCGGATATCGTTGAATATCCGTGCCCATTTAGAATTGAGTAACTTTTTTGTAAGAACACCAAAAAAACGTAGTTTTTTCAATTTGTATTTATTTAAACCTTTTAACATGGTAGGGCTAAAACGCTGTTTCTGCGTGGATATTATCTTCGCAGTCGTAAATTATGTATGACGAAGTAAGGGTGTATTGTCAGGTTCGTCACTAATATAACGTCAATAATCAAGATCAATGAAACTAGACAATCAACAGAAATTATAATTAATTCGGCAACAGAACATTATAATAACATA